GCCTCACAGCTAGAAGGTCGCCGGTTGGTGTCCCGGTGAGGACACCCGGGATCTTTCTGCGTGGAGTCTCCATGTTCTCCCCGTGCAGCGTGGGTTCTCTCCGGGTTCTCCGGCTTCCTCCCACAGTCCAGAAACATGCTGAGGTTAATTGGTGATTGTAAATTGTCCGTAGGTGTGAATGTGAGTGTGCTTGGTTGTCTGTCTCTAAGTGTAGCCCTGTGATAGACTGGTTACCTGTCCAGGTGAACCTGCCTTCACCCTGAGTCAGCTGGGATAGACTCCGCCCCCCATGACCCTGGTGAGGATGAAGGTGTAGAGATGATGGATGGATGCAACACTGAGGCCTTGTCCACAGGTAGCAGGGTTTTTATACAACTGAATATCCTTCCCCCTACACACCACCTCGTTTTAGAAAACAAATTCATCCACACCATAAGTGTGTTGTTAAGCACATTCATAAGCATGCAGAACCTTTAGTTCCCCAAATCCTGTCCAATCAGAGTAAGCTTCCGTTTCTTGAGCTCGTCCTTAAAGTGGACCTTCGCCTGTGGTCTTGTACTTGGAGCAGTATCTGGGCCTGGACCAGAGACAACGCCAACACAGGTCTGAGGGCGTCCACGCTGTTTCCGAATGTAAACACAGGTCACATATGTGATGCAAGAACGACAGGTGAGGAAAATAAACCTTCACTTGCTTATAAAGAGGCGTGTTGTTGCCCTATATGGTGATGTGGAGGCGTTCCTGAAGGCAACGTGCTCGAGCTCGGAGGTTAAGAACAAGTAGGATTTATCACCACTGATGTACATACGAGCCCCGTACGCACGGTTGATAAATACAGATGTTTTTGTACTTACACACACACTACATTTCATTTGTGCGACAGAATTTAGAAGCTTTTCTACGCACTGATGATAAATGAGGCCCCAGGACTGAAAATACACATGCATACAATCTGTACACAGGTCTGATCTCGCTCATGGTCCCCAGGAGGTAAACACTGGTAACTATGGAGACTCCAGCTTTATCTGTAGGGCCAGTATCAAGCAGCACATACATTCTGTTTCTGTCAATATCTAACGGGCAGATTGCCCAGACTGTACACATTCATACATTCATGCCCCCCGATGCATTAACCCATCCATTTTGTACACTGCATGAACAAAGTCAAAATGTCATATTTTCTCATCATCTAATTGGCAGATTGCCACAAGATGAGCAGAGTCGTGCTGCTAAGGGAGGCCCTGACCTTTACTTTACTCCCACACTCAGGCCCAACTTTACATTTTGTCCCACTGCTGGTTAGAGTCTGGGATCAGGAAAAGCATTTCATTTTTAAAGCCTGAGCTCTCTCATGTTAGGAACATGCAGCTTTCAGGGGGCTTCAGACTTTTAATCCAGTTCCCAAACAAATCCAGACTTTGGGAGGCCTATAATGGAGCATGATGGATAATCTAAATAAATGATGTTGACTGTTATTTTAATGCAAAGAAATGGTCAGCAGCTGTATTGCTCAGCTGTACTATAGGTACGCATGGCTGGTACCACGCTGGACTCCCTTTTACCTTCAGATTTGTCCTAGTTCTTCATAGTATAGATTTAAGAACACTCCTCTGAGGTTTTGGTCTGTGCTGACATGACCGCGTCACAGAGTTGCTGTAGATGTGTGGGCAGCAGCTTCATGATGGAGACTCTCCACCATCATCCACTGGTGCTCCATCAGGCTGAGGTCTGGTGACTGTGGAGGTGATTTCAGTACAGTGACGTCCTTGTCGTTGTTGCGACACCGTTCTGAGATATGAGGTTTGTGACAGGTTAGGGTGACTATATTTTGATGAACCAGGACACTCGGCGCAGCAATGAAATACTCACATGATACTCGAGGTGTACTCAAAGACGCCTTATAATTTCAGTACATTTAATTACATTTAGTTTGCCTCCTCCAGGACAGGACCAGGACATTTTCATTACTTTATAAAAAACAACCAGGACGGCCATGACAGGACGTGAAAACAGGACGTTTGGTCCCCCTAGACATGATGCGTTATCCTGCTAACAGTTGGATGGTACACTGTGGTCATAAAAGGGTAACAACGGTCGGCAGCAATATTCAGGTAGTTGTGTTTAAATGATGCTCAGACACTATTGACGGCCCCACAGTGTGTCACAACAGTTCCTGTGTCATTACACCACAACCAGCAAGTCAACATGGACTCATGCTTTCCTGGTGTTGGGCACCAAATTCTGACCCTAACGTCCAATGCTGTGTTCACACCAGACGGGAATTCATCGTGCTGTTCACGGGTTACGTGTGTCTTTGGACGCGTGTGTGCACTGACTTTACTCGCTTCATTTGCGCGTATAAATCGCGTCAATCGCACGTCAAGATTTGTGTCTGAATTCAAGTCATTGGCGCGACTGACGCGATCCAGACGCCGGATCCATGGGACCCCCCAGAGACGCACACAGCTCGGGGAGTTTCTCCACCTTCTCCAGGAGCTGCGCCTGGATGACGGCCGCTTCCAGCGCTGTTTTCGGCTGATCCGGACCCAGTTTGACTACCTGTTGGAGAGGATCGGTACCAGGACATCCCTCCATGACATTAACTACACGCTCGCTGAGATAGAGTCATGTTTTTTCATCACCACATACAACAACACGGGACGAGCGGCCGCCAGCAGGAGGACGCTGACCACAGTGACGAGGAGCCAGCGGAGGTTTATCCTGCTAGCATTGCGATAGCTAGCAGCTCGGCTAAGCTGGCTAAGTTGAAGAGCAGCATTCTGGTGTGTGGACTGGAGGAGAGAGACAGCCCGTCTGCTGAGCTCTGAGATCTGCCCTGGCCAGTGATGTAACAGCCTTTCTCCTGGGGTGAGTAAATAAATCAGTAATCAGTGTAGCTGCAAAAAATGAATGAATCATGTTGTTGACGTCACCAGAGAATCTCAACGCTGATTGGCTGATTGGCCATCGCGGTGCGTCAGATCGCAAAAGTTCAGATTTTTCAACTTTCTCTCTGGACGCGCATAACACGCGTCAAACTCGCTCAATTCGCGTCTATCGCGTGAGTCGCGCCGCGGGACGTTTACTCGCGTCTAAAGGTGTCTTCACATTGACTTTACATGTAAATCATTCACGCGAATGATTTTACTCGCGTCTGGTGTGAACACAGCATAAAAGTTGCAGCAGAAATCGAGACTCATCAGACCAGGCTTTGTTTTTCACATCTTCTGAGCTTGTGCTTGCTGTAGATTCAGTTTCCTGTTCGTAGCTTTCACTCGTTGTGGTCGTCTGCTGCAGTCGTCCGTCTGTACGTGGAATCAAAATGGTGTGCATGTAGAGGTCAGCATCCCTTGGTTGATAGGAGTGGTTGTTTCAGTCACTGTTCATTTTTGATCCATTTTCCTCTTTTTTTCTGATGTTTACCTTCAACAAACCACTTTGCCCAGAGACCTGGTGCTCACTGGAGGCTTTGTCTGTATAAACCCTGTGAACGGATGTGCGTGGAATCCTCAGTAGAGGAGCAGCTTCTGAAAGACTCAAACCCTTCCTGCCCTTCTTGGCACCAACAAGCATGTCACATTCAAAGTGGTTTAAATCTCTTTTCCACTCTAATCTGATGCTTTGTTTGAACTTCAGCAGATCCTCTCGATCATGGCTGCATGCCATGTTTCTGCCGTGTGATTACAAACGTCACAAACACGTTAGAGAGCCTGCAAACACGAGAGCAATCGTTCTAAACCGTCTTCTGCTTCCACTTCTATCACACTGCTTAACACAGAACAGCTCGGCTGAAGCCTTTCATGTGTCGTAGCCGCTCATCTGATGCACAAGGCTGACCTCTGGCTGCCTGCTCATTGATTATCTGTTTCACACAGGGTGCAGTGTGGTGCTCTTTAAAGTGCAGTATGTATGTATTCCAGGTTTTTACGAATGTGTATGCATGTTTTTACTTAGCAGTGTTTTCATACATTGGTTTACATGCATATGGCTGATGCAGTGACTTGTGACTTGTACTGAGCTGTTAAAACACTATGTCCCAGGCAAATTTCCCTTTGGGAACAATAAACTACATCATATCTTACTGGCTGATTATGACTTTGCTTGAATGAGCACTTAAACAAGGGTACCTAATGAAGTGGCCTCAGAGTGCCTGGAAGCAGACAGCGCAGTGCTGCAGACCAAATATTAAAATCAGTGACAGCTGCTTTGTCACATCCCTCAGAATACCTTTAGCTGCTCCGCTCTAATCCTCTCCTGTGTACTTCCACGTAAACTTGTCATTCATGTTGACTTTCTAAGATATAACACGGCTGCTGTTCATGCGTGAAGCTCCGGCAACAGGTTTATGCTTCAGCGGCTTTGATGGAGCTGAGATGTGACAAATTTTCATTTTCCCTCACCAGCAATCCGACAGTCAGACGGCAGGAAGCAGCGCAACAGGCTTTAATTTAATGCTTTAGGGGAGTCAGCAAGTTTACAAAGCAGCATGTAAGATGTAAAGGCCTTTCACTTACAGGCCTCGCAAACAAGAGATGTGCATGAATTAATTCGTAGCTTTTGTGTTTGCTTATAATGGAAAAAGGGCTGCAGGTGGCACAGCTGGCTAGCTATTGTCTGTAGGTGTGAATGTGAGTGTGCTTGGTTGTCTGTCTCTAAGTGTAGCCCTGTGATAGACTGGTTACCTGTCCAGGTGAACCTGCCTTCACCCTGAGTCAGCTGGGATAGACTCCAGCCCCCCATGACCCTGGTGAGGATGAAGGTGTAGAGATGATGGATGGATAATGGAAAAACAATCTGTAATATACCAGTGTTGTATTTAACCATTAAATTATTGATGTTCCTTGCGTTTGTTTTGTCGTTCTCTCTTTCATTTTAATGTTGTTGCTGTTTTAGCTCCTCCTGTGCATGGAGTGTGTTTTATATATAGACTGATATTGCCCCTATACTGTATGTACCATATGTGCAATTACATAAGTGATGGTCTTATTTAATCTGTGTAGGACCTGGGCATGGAGTCAACATCTCTGGATGACGTGTTGTACCGCTACGCCAGCTTCAGGAACCTCGTTGATCCCATCACACACGACCTGATTATCAGCCTGGCACGATACGTCCACTGCCCCAAGACGGTAGGACACACACACATGAAAAATACAACGTGAAGAAAATGTGATAAATATTGCAGATTACAGCAAACATGCCTGTGCATGCTCACAGACGGCTGTGATTCATTGCGTTGCTGCTATCAGACGATCTCCTGAATCATTTTGTTGGCCACTGTTGGGTTACTGAAGTGCTCTAAGTGGCTGCGTTTGTCCTTGAGGGAACCACAGCTCCTTGTGTTTGTTCATTCATATGGTCCAGGATGTCATTGAGAGAGAGCGAGAGCGAGAGAAAGCATGACAGGAGCCATACTGGATGAATAATACAGGGAGGAAGGAGGAGTGATGGAGATGAAGATAGGAATTAAAAGCCCCGATGTGTAATTGTAGCGCAGGGCATTCTGTAGGAAGCTGGCTTTGTTAAAAGGCTTATTTCCAGCACATGACGAGTCCATTTGAGTCCACCTACTATAAAAGTACATTCAGAAACAGTGATATGATTTCTACGCCTCTGGATGGCATCGTTCCTTCTGCCTGACATGAAGGAAAAACATCAGATGATTGTTTTACTCTGTGTGTAAGAGATGCGTGTCCATTACATTTCTCCCCTATGAAACATCACCATGCTTTAATGTGATCAATTTGTTGAGACAACAGAAGATGTAGAAGGTGATGATGCAACAAAGACTATGGTGAAGATATTCAACTTCTTGTCTGTGACATAATGAGACCTGTGGAGGGACACTACAGGTCAACAGGATCATTTTTTTAAACTGACATCACCAGAAAACCTCAACAGTTGATTACTTGCAACTAGACAACTGTTTTGTGCTGCAGGTTTTCTGACATTTTAGTTTAACTATGCGAATGAGTTGTGATCCATCCATCCATCATCTCTACACCTTCATCCTCACTATGGGGGGCGGAGCCTATCCCAGCTGACTCAGGGTGAAGGCAGGTTCACCTGGACAGGTAACCAGTCTATCACAGGGCTACACTTAGAGACAGACAACCAAGCACACTCACATTCACACCTACGGACAATTTACAATCACCAATTAACCTCAGCATGTTTCTGGACTGTGGGAGGAAGCTGGAGAACCCGGAGAGAACCCACGCTGCACGGGGAGAACATGGAGACTCCACGCAGGAAGATCCCGGGTGTCCTCACCGAGACGCCAACCGGCAACCTTCTAGCTGTGAGGCGCTAACGGTGCTAAACACTGATCCACCTGCATCCCATGATCCATCTAGAAAAGCTCTAATTTTCATTATTTCCTGAACAGTAATCTGAACATCAGATAAAACCAGCTTCATTTTGTTGACATATTAGAGACTGAACATAACAGAGTGGAGTTTAGATCTCTTTTTATCACTTCATAAATCACAAAATACCTCCAGCAGCCAGAAAAAAACAACTATTTTTGCATGCTTTTGGGAATAATACAGCCAACCTATAAATGATCTGTGAACAAAAATCGGTGGAAAACCTTCAGAATTGAGCCAGAAGTAAAACTTAAACGTTTGTTGTGTGTAAATGAGACTAAGGCGAGATTTCTAGACAAAGTGTAATAAAATAAACACCTATGTGTATTTTGTGGATGTTTTCTTTCCACTAATCTGAAAGAAGACGTTATGTGTATCACAAACTCTCAAAACTGACCAGTGCTTTAAAAAACAGGAGCGATGACTCCACGTGTAGCCTCAGGCTAGTTAGCACCTTCTGCTAGTGATGTTAGCTAATGTTTTCATTTAAAGAATAAAGGTTTGTAGGCCAAAGTTATCTACAGTCTTTTGAAAATTGGACAAGAAACAACAAGAAAACAATGCTAAAAATAAAAATAAAGAATTAAGAATAAGAATTAAGAATAAAGAAATGAAATGACATGATCAGTGGCTGTAGACGTACCGCCAACATCTTTGGTATTGCTGTTGATAGGACTGAGCGTCTTGTAGCAATTTGCTAACAAAATGTTACTGAGTGAATGCTGATTGGATTAGACTAGGCTCAAAGCAAAAACAAAACTGCATTTTTTAAAAATCTGCTGACTAAAGATGATATATATTTCAGTGTAATGGCTAACGGTACCAGGTGTCAGAACCCCGACTGTTTGGGCTCCAGAATGATGTGTTTCACTTCAGGAAAAGCTCATAGTTTAGGTTAAAATACGACCCTCTGCTCCAGTTCCTGTGGTTGAAGAGTCCTGCTCCATGTCGTATACGACTGGTTGGCTTCAAAGGAGTGACAGTCAAAGATATGTTGATTTGAAATGATTTAGGATTTATCTACAACATCTGCAATCCAGCAGAAAATATGAAGAGTTCATTTGCAAAACAGATAACTCCATGTTCACAAACCTTCAGAAAACCTGAGACCACATCCATCAAACTTCACTTATCTCTATTTTTGTCATTTCTCCTGAGTCAGATCCACTCAGCTTCAGTCTGACTGATGTTACCTCAAGCAAACAACAAGACAACACATTTTCTGAAAATCTACAATAACAGAGTTATCTGTTCCTTAAATCAGAAGTGACAATGCAGTCTAGTGGTGCAGGGATGTCATTTTTGGGAGTTACGAAGAGTTCTTATTTTCGTATTAACGTCACCCAAAGCCATCAGATGTTACCACTTTATTAGAGACTCGATAAACACAAAGCGATGTTCACCTGCATCAGCGAACCAGCAATACAACAAAAATACACACACTGCAGTCTGTGTGGGAACTCAAAGTGGCAGCATCTGGTGTGTTTGATGCAAAAGAGCATTTTAAATGTATGCTGCACCTGAGAAATAAACATCAGAGGGCGAATCAGCCACTGATGATGATGATGTTTGCCCGTCTCAAATCCAGACGTGGTGGGAGCTGAAGTTCTGCTTCGCAGCACAACACAGTCTGCTGATGGACCACCAACATTTTATAATCTGTTTGATTTTATGCATATGTGTGTGACCAATTTCATGATTTAGAGACATTCTCTGTAAGTCGACATGCACGTTTTTGGGAAAACGCTGACTGCACTGATGAATGAATCTGATTTATTGTCCCAGAATGCACTGTGGATGCTGGAAAATACACGTCACTCCACAACTGTATGCTGCGAGAGACTCCTCACACAAACAGAAGCTGCAGAGGAAATGGAGGAGGGCTCTGTGCACAGTTCATAATAGGTGAACACATAGAAGCTGAGACGAGGAGACCTGCAATGAAAGAAGCTCCAGAGGGGGTGTTGTTATGTGAGGAGAGAAACGCAATAAGGGAGGAAGTACAGAAGGAGAGGTGTTGTTTCATGTCTGTCGGTGCACTGCTGGTCTTTACTTTCCCCACCTGGGCGTCAAAGACAGTCGAGTTTTTGTGTTGTTAAAAAAGATAAAGCGTTCACAGAACAAGTTGTGATGTCATACTTTAGTTTCCAAAATCATCTTCATGTACGTGGAGCAAAACATGCTGTAAATGCATCAACATTTATATTCTAAACTGATGCATTTTTTTACTACATTTTTCTTTGTTGCATATGTTTTCTATCACGATCTACTGGTTGTGTCATAACGGCGGTCGTTTTGGCGCCAGTCATTGGTCAGCAGCGCTGCACCTTAACACAATGGCAGCTGCAGAGTCCAACTCGGTTCAAATTTTCCAAAGACCCAAAGCTGTGACGGAAGTCCTCCAAAATATCACAAAACAAAGAGGTGGCTTGTGCACTGCAGAGTTTCAGTGGCATGGAGCTTGTAACTTCAACTATAAAATGAGCTTAAATGAAACGGTCAGTTAGATTTTTTGTGGCCAATGAAACAGTAAAATAGTCGTTAGGTTGATGAATAGAATCTTTAATGACAGTCCTAGACGCTGATAACAACATGATGTGTGCAGTGCTGATACTGGGGAGGTAACTTTTAACATGCAGCTTGGCCAAACCATCTCCCTGTAACACATAAAGTTGTGTGCCAGCTTTTTATTGAAATAACTATATTACAGCTTCCTGTGAATAATGTCTCAGCTGCAGAGGAATCAGATATACTCAAACTACAATTCTACAATTCTTTTTCATTTCATTTAGCGGACGCTTTTATCCAAAGCGACGTACATCTGAAGCTATCAGGAGATACGACGACTTTATTTTTTGACTTTAGTTGTTTTGTTTTGTTTTGTTTTTTTCTTTTTTTATGATGGAAGAATTGGAGAAATGTATTAAACATAAATTCTTTTTAATGTCTTGAATTTTGTTTGACCATTAGTTAAGTTTTAGCCGCAGCAGTTCTGAGCAAAGATGCTTCTTAATTTTTTGTCTTTCAAGTTACGATATCGTCACCCTACAGTTGAATGTTGGATGCAAACGTGTTAGCAAAGTGTTGTATATTTACAGATGTAGCAGACAGTAAGCCCTAGAAAATTAAATTTGGAGTCATGTTTCTGTTTTTAGTCTTTGTCAACAGAAACAGCAGTGATGAGAGCTGTGAGAGTCAACCAAAACAGCTGTGTCTGAAAGACGCTGAAACGTTCAATAAAACTGAGAGAAACTGCAGAGTTGGGGAATGATTTTTAGTGTGCTGACTAGAATGAGCGACGTATTTCACATTACTCATCGTCACCTGATCTATTGGTAATGTAAAAATATTGATTGGTGCAGCTTTAGCTTTTGATTCCGCTACTTAATTTAATTGAAATGTGCTGCGATTGCATCAACAAGAGCAGAATGAAGTAGACACCTCAGATATTTCACTTTTCACGCCGTCACACAGACTTTTAATCAGTTGATGGAATAATAAAGCCACTGTACGTATAAATTACTAACTGAAAAAAGTCCATTTAAGGTAGCAGTTCTGCTTCTGTTTACATCACTGCAGCCACACAGACGCAGTGTTTCATGGTTTCCCTCCACAGAGGAAATTTCCATCAAGCGGTGCCACAGAAGCACAAAGAGTATTCTCAGAGAGCCCTACACCCAGAACCTGCTCAGAACGCTGCTTTTATGCAGCAGGAACATGTTGGAAGGATGTTGTTCTCTGAAACACAACAAGCAGAGGCT